TTTTTTTTTTTTTTTTTTACTCCGCATGCCTTCAGGGCAGGTTTGGCCTGAGCCTGACTGTATCGAAGCAGCCACTTAAAGAACTGAGCTAAGGGGCAGGCCTCCAAATGGAATAAAGATTTTTTTTTTCTTTTGCTCTGAATGCCTTCAGGGCAGGTTTGGCTGGCTGGAGTTGTGGGGATCGAACCACAGCAACCTGAGCCTGACTGCTATGTTGAAGCAGCCACTTAAAGAACTGAGCCAAGGGGCAGGCCCCCTCTGAAGCAAATATTTATGTAGTATTAATGTAGTATTTTTTCACATGGTTGTTAGCTCTTCTACAAGTATATCAACTTTATGCAGTATTTATTTAATCCAGTATTATTTTTAAAAGATAATGCACCATAACTATTATGAAACACAGGAAGTTCACAATCAATTTCACTAGCAATCTATAATTAACTAGCATATAAGAAGAAAACTATAAGATTACTTTAATAGATGCACAAAAAGAAGTTGCTATAACTCAACATCTATTTATGATAAATACTCTCATCAATATTAGAGAGAAAGGATATTTTAAAAATATATAGACACCCAACCTATTAGCACCACATGGCTCTGCATTTTAAGGCTTAGCGTTCTTTCAGAAATGTGCTACAGTTTTTATTGTTCATATCTTGAACATATTTTATGACATTTATAATTAAGTATTTCATGTTTTTGGTGCTATTACAAATTGATTAATTTCAATTTTGGATTTTGTTCTTTAAATAAACAAAGCTAGAAGACTCCCACTATATGACTTTAAGACTTCCTAAAAAGCTACAGATACATATATCAGTGAAGCAGAATAGTCAAAAGAAAATTCTATACATATAGTTGATTGATTTGTGACAAAGATGCTAGGGAAATTTAATGGGAAAGGTATAATATTACCAAAAATTGCACTGAAAATGCTGGGTAGTAAAGATAGATGTTTATCTTTATTTTACATTACAACAAAAAATTAATTTCATATGGATCACTTAAACATACAAGCTAAAACTATAAAACTTCTGCATGATAATCTAGAAGAAAGGGTCCATGACTTTGTTGTAGGTAAATATTTTTAGGAAATGTTTTACTTTAACACAAAATAATTTTATCAAAATTTGACAGCTTGGTTTTATCACAATTAAAAATGTCTGCACCTATTAAAACAACAACAAACATCACTATAAATTGAGTCAGACCGGGATGAAATATATATATAAAACAAAAGGTGGACCCAGGATATAAAGGATACATATACACACATACATGTGCTTAATAAGGAGAAAACTGAATGAAATCTATAAAGTGTGAGCAAATGTTTGAGTAAAACACTACATTGAAATAATCAAAAACACATGAAAAGATGCTCAATGCTTCTTTTAAGAAATGTAAATTGAGGCCAGGAAGATAGCTTAGCAGCATTAGTACCTGTCTGGCAAGCACAAGGTCCTCAGTTCAATCCCCGGAAGAGGAGGAGGAGGAGGAGGAGGTGGAGGAGGAGGAGGAGGACGAGGAGGGAGGGGGGGGGAGTGGAGGAGGAGGAGGAGGTGGAAGAGGAGAAGGAGGAGGAGGAGGAGGTGGAGGAGGTGGAGGAGGACGAGGAGTATGTGGTGGAGGAAGGAGGAGGAGGAGGTTGAAGAGGAGGAGGAAGTGGAGGAGGAGGAGGAGGAGGTGGAGGAGGAGGAGGTAGGGGAGAAATGTACATTGAAACTAAGTGAGATCCTTCCACCCTTTCACTAGAATATGCTAATCATGACAATCCCCAGGGTAATGAAGAAGCAGAACAACAAAGGGATGCAACCACATTGGAAAACAGGCTATTTTTTTTTGTAAAATTAGACATGCACTTACATTAAGACCCAGCAATTCTGTGCTCAGATAATTAATTATCCCAGAGAAATATAAATATTCTTCCCCACAAAGAATTGTTCATAAATATTTACAGTGGCTTTACTTATAATAGCCCAAACTAGAAATAATCCAAATATCCCTCACCCAGTAGATTGGCAAATGAATTTAATATATCCATGTAATGAAAGGAACAAACTACTAACACTCCCTGCAGTACCAGAGAACTTCATAGGTATTATGCTGAGTGAAAAAGACAGACATAAAAGATTGTAGGTGAAATGATTTCATTTTCTTAAAATTATAAAAGAGGAAACTGTAGTTTACAATGACAGAAACAGATTAGGATGTCCTAGGGCTGTGGACTGAGGAGCTAACTGCAAAAAAAAGGCAGATGGGGACTCCTG